TATTTTAGAGCTAACAATCTAGCAGTCTTCAAAATGTATTATCGCGTTTTATAAAAATAGATAGCTTACCGTAATTCTCTATCACATCAGGTTCCATTTGCATAGCGGAATAATCATAGAATGTTATGTTCCATTTTCTGTCTTTATGCTTGCTATCAACCATGATAATATTATATTCCGTACGACCGACAAAAATAGTATTCTGCATTTCCAAAGGACATGTATCTTTCACTTTATGAAAACTTAAAAGCTGCTCTTTTTCACCAGTCATTGGATCAATACTAAACCATGTGTCAATTTTTCTGCCAGTATATAATATACCATCGCTGCTTCTGCATGGACTACTGGCAACTAGTTGAGGAATGGTAAATGGCAGCTTTTTCAATGCTTCTGTTTCTCTACCAAAGAGATAAAGTGAACCATCTCTGGGATCCGGTAGAAATATAGGCCTGGAAATCACAAACATTTTAATAAAAATACAAAATGTTTCACTTTACTTTATTATTTAACAAATGCCAAACATTTAACAAATGAAATATCACTAATAACCAAATTTTATATATTTCTCATCAATAATCATTTATTACAAATACATCGATGTGCAATATAATAACTTAATGCATACATTTTACTTGCCGACAAATTGATAGGCACTTTGACCACGGGTTCTAAAACCAATACATATGATAAACGAAACAAAATACAATTTCCTAATGTAATCTACTATATAACTAATTGTTACCATCATCTTGTTGCCATCGTATTTTTCCAGACCTCTGATCAACACCCACAAGCAATCCACCAAGCGTAGAAAATAAAAGGAGAGCATCATCTTGTTCTGCTACCAGTTCGGTGTTAAAATTCTAATAATATAAAATTAAAAGAAATATGTTGAGAAGGGCTACGAGCCAAAAATAATAGATTGAATATATTTACTAACAAATATATACACTAACAAAAGGTAACAAATATAGTAAAATTCTAATAATATAAATATTATTTAAGTCAGTTTAATTTTAATTGTAAGAACGACAGTATAACAACACTTATAATTTAAGAAGCGCAATAAAATACATATAATATGTTTTTGGATTTAAAGTAAAAGTTTAACTCTAAAAAGAATATTATATTTGTCCTTTCTTTTTTTGTTTCCCTTATATATTTACCAGGAAGAAATCTTTCTCTAAAGAAACTCTTTTAACAAAAGAAATTATATTACTTACATCTACCACTTGCTGTCCTGTGACGAATGCAAGCATCGTCAAAATAACAAGCCATAACATCCACTTTTGCATCGTAAAAAATCTTCATGTAGCATTGACCATATGATATACAAACACGGATGAATTCCTCCCGGCATAAGTTTTACCCCATACAGTACATGCAGTTACATTACAACACATTAGTTTACATAGCTTTGGAGCAAGATGGTTCGTAATTATTGCAGATTGTTGTCGTTAACATGATTGCCACAAATCTCTCCCAAAATACAACAAAGATCACATTCTTAAATCCGCGAATCTGTACATTTGCATCCTCTTTATTCTTAATGCAAAACTGTGCAAAAAAGTAGAGTACAATGTTTCGCTCCGCGGACAAGATCGTTTTGTAAAAAAACTACGTAATAAGACTGTTTGCTTGTGTTGTTGTACCGCGATGATAACACGTATATGGCCGAAACAATAATATAATCATTATAACAAATATATTTTATTCAATGCATCACGAATCTCTTCTGCAGTCTCCAAGAGATTTAACTGACAAAATCGTTTTGGCGTATGTGTAATGACACGCACATTTCATACAATTTATCATATGGACACGTGTCTGAGTCTCATATACAGGTGCAGCAGTTCGTAATTTGTATATACTACATACTCATCGACAGGTCTGCATAGGTACAATTTCATGCAGCGAAGTTTCGCTGGCGAAGACCCCCCACTCCGATTCGTGCGAAAATCCGTAGCGAGCGAAGAAACGCTGCGAAACAGAAAATACATATAAGATTACGAACAGCAATTTAATGAACGTACACGAAGTATAATATAATATAATAATATATTATATTATATTATTATATTAGGTATGCCCAGATAACCAAGCATGCGATACCGACATCACCCGCACAAGATACCGCTACCGTACTATTACTGTACTGCCACGAGGTGGCGGTGTACGGC